ACTCCAAGTATGAAGAGAGACTATCAGATTGCCGATACCATACCAAGGGTGGACACAGATAGATTATATTGCTACAAACGATCGGTGGAGGATTGTTTCCCTTCCTGGAGGAGGAAGGTGGTAGTATGCGTTTATCATTCACTCACCAAGGAAGTTGCATGAAGCAGAATAGGCTAGTTGCTGACGGTATCTCAGCTGAGACATAAATGGCTTGCGTCATCTGTAGTGTCGGCGAAATATCCGACTATGTAGTGAAGAACTGGTAAAATATGCTGCAGTCCTATTATACGACAGTGAAACATGACGGCTAAAAGTAGGAGATTGGAAGAGGTTACTAGTTTTTGTCCACAAGTGTCCTCGTAGCATTACTACTTATGTGTTCCGGAATCATGGTGTTAGCAACGAGTTGGGCGTCCGAAGGTGACATGCAGAGATCATGGTAAGAAGAAATGGGTAGTGGTGAAGCCAGATTAAGAAGTTTGCAGAGAATAAAGTGAAATCGCGACGTGCTACTGAAGTCGTATCTTCCACTAGGAATCCAACAGACAAGTAATAATAATCAGTATTTAGTGCTTTTAAAATCAAACCATTCTATTAGGTTATTGATTATCTGTCAAGATATTTTCGCGTATCATAGAAAACTAAGCAAGATACGTGTGTAAGTATTTGAAATATTCAGATTCTCTATGGTTAGTGAGTATCACTATTTTTTGACCTGAATCAAATAAAGAATGATCAAACTACTTGAAGAGATAGTCAGCAGTTCATACTGATATTGTCTTCAACGGAAGGAGAGGCTAGAAAATGTTGTTACTAGGATCAGAACATTCCTACCTACCGCGTGGTCCTCCAGTGCTAGTGGCATGAATTTTTATTGTCAATCAGTGGCACAGTGGAATCTAAATCCAAAATTCCTGAAAAGTTCGTGTGTGACTACTCTCAAGCAGATGTTTCTTACGCTCTACAATCATAAATCACTACTACTAATGATTACAAGGCCCCAGTTTCGCATAAAACACTTATTGATCTGAACATTTTTAACTTGTCATTTTCACACCATTTTTACAGTATCGCTAATAATTTTATTTTCTGCCCCCATATTTAATGTAATTCGCTGATTGGTTAATCCTTACTCTTACTATATCGATGTCACAAATTACAGACAAGGTCACATTTTATGTGTATGCATGCTTAAGTTATTTTTGAGCTAATTAATTGATTATTATTCTCAGAGGAATTAACTCTCCCATCCATCTTCAGGCTTCTCTATTCGTCCCGGTTTGCAGTCAGTGGCTCTTGCATACGAAGTTAACTGTCAGTTAAGTGTGCGTATTATATCCGTTCGGAATATATAATACTAGTTCATTTTCTCTTTCAGGCACGTTATGTGAACAACTTTAACAATGTATGCAGTAAGGGGAGCGCCAACCACCTGCGCATTTCCGGTAGCCTACAAAACTCAACTAAGCATAAAGTACCTTACCGAAGTTAAATTCTTCGCTTGTCTTCACTTCCTGATACAAAAACTAGACCGTCTATAGTTTTATCAACTTTCCATTCTACTGTCATAGCTAACCATCCGAGCCAGCGAAACATAATTTCTAGTCTTTTCTAAAGTAACCTTGTTAACTTCCTATTGAACCTTGCAACATCCAAACTGTATCTCAAGTCGCATAACAGACGTTATTTGTCAAAATTATGGAAACTGGAATAACGGATGTATACTGTATTTCTCAGATATCCATACAGGAACCAAGTGTGGTTAACCACTTGACCTCATCTGGCTGATGCAGTGAGTGTGCGAATTTCATCTTACGACTGTCCACAAATTTAGTTACTAGCTCACGAGCTCTCTAGTGTAGGTATGACATTAGTTTGTCGAACAGAAAGCGCATTCCATGAATTAACACCAGTCAACAGCCAACAGTGTGCAGTTCGACTAAATGAATCTGTAAGAACTGGGAAAAACCGTAACAGTCGTTGATGTCTATTCGTAGTCTCTGAGTATGCGGAGATCCACTGGATTTCTGATTGAACAGTAGATGAATTCTACGAAAAGCTGTCGATTTTACTACTTAAATCCAAGCGTTTAGATATACTCACAATGTCAAATGACTTCAACACTCAAGTAGGTGAGCTGAGTCAATCGGAAAAGTATACAGGAATCATCCATGGTATAGCATGCACACAGTGATCTTCCATTACACTTTTGTTCTGACCGTTACTTGACTCTGGCCAACACTAACTCCAAGTATGAAGAGAGACTATCAGATTTGCCGATACCATACCAAGGGTGGACACAGATAGATTATATTGCTACAAACGATCGGTGGAGGATTGTTTCCTTCCTGGAGGAGGAAGGTGGTAGTATGCGTTTATCATTCACTCACCAAGGAAGTTGCATGAAGCAGAATAGGCTAGTTGCTGACGGTATCTCAGCTGAGACATAAATGGCTTGCGTCATCTGTAGTGTCGGCGAAATATCCGACTATGTAGTGAAGAACTGGTAAAATATGCTGCAGTCCTATTATACGACAGTGAAACATGACGGCTAAAAGTAGGAGATTGGAAGAGGTTACTAGTTTTTGTCCACAAGTGTCCTCGTAGCATTACTACTTATGTGTTCCGGAATCATGGTGTTAGCAACGAGTTGGACGTCCGAGGGTGGCATAGAGTAGATCCTGTGAGGGAAAAATGAAGGCTTGTGGGCAGTCGTGGGTCCAGCTTGAGAAGACTGTAGAGAACAGAGTGAAATGTTGACGTGCGCGCTACTGAAGCCGTGTGTTCCACTAGGAACCCAAGAGACAAATAAGAGTAATATATAGTGTTAGCGATGTTGAGAATTCTCACCAACTGAAATGGCTTGGACATGTGTTACGCCAACTAAGCTACCTTATACCTGAATGTTCGACCTTAGCTGAAGAAGGATTGGGTTCTAGGAATACTGTTGTTGGTTAGACCAAGACTTGACACCAGTTCATATTTGTATATGTTTCGATCTTTATTTGATATCTCACTTAAATAATTTTAACGGAAAATTAATTCTTTATTTTGATGGTTAATGGGGAAGGGGGGGGGTGAGCTCGATTGTTTGCAAAGAAGTCCTTTCCAGTCTAGGAGGAAACAACTCTTCAGTGCTCTTGAGTTTATTGGATCACTAAATGGTGTCGTTTAGAGATAAAATTTCTCTGAAACGAAATCGTCATTGTTTACTGTTTTGATTCATTGATAGTATTGTGGCTATAGAGCAGTTTTGTTTGCCATGACTAAAACGCATAAGTGTTTGTAAGAATTAAGTAGGAATTTTGTAGAGAAAGACACAATTTTCTTTCTTGTGATTAGCTTTTCCATGGCTTGCTTTTCATCTATCCCGACTTTTGAGGATATTTATTTTGTTTTTATGATTTAATAGATGAAGTTTATTTCAACACAGGTATTAATACTGTTTGTACTGGGTGATGACTGAAGGTGATATGAAAATCTGGACCGCGGCCGGATTCGAACCACTGACTACCGGGGTTACCGGCCCGGCGACCTCGAACTAACATTGTCATAACCCATCCTTCAATCTGCAATAGCCTAACAGAAAACTTATCACGACGTTTGGAAGAAGTTATATCTATCTCAACTTAGGTTAACGCAAACCCGTTCATGAGACTTTCCTTCTGGCTGATATCTCCATGCCCATAATCGGCGTACATTCGTTGAAGCATTACGACTTATTCGTAGATGCCTGTTGGTGACGACTAGAAGCTAACTAGTCTTTGAAATACTATAGGCGTGTGTTAAATTGCTCGATGGTTGCCGAGAATGCTTATTCACCTTGCTGCAGTAACAGATGTACATATCTAGGAGTTTTAATTTCCTGTATAGTGATTTAAGATGCAGTGATGAGAGATAGGATCATTTCAAGATGGATGAACTGAGTAGTCATTTATTGATCTTTGGGTAATTCTAGTCAAATATCCTGTTGTCTGAATTTGTTTAACGGTCCTAAGAATGTTAGTGTTTTGTAAATTTTGATTGAGTTTGTCCGCACTTGAAGACTGTTGTGAAGTAATTTGGTCACATGTTTCTGTATTGACAACTGTTACCAGTTTAAACTATTTTCTTGAGTCATTTAGTGTAGCTTGTTTTTTCAGGAATATAAGAAGTTGCAAAATAGAAACCGAGCCGGTAACCCAGTGGTCGCTGGTTCGAATCCGGCTGCGGTCCACCTTCAATTATCACCAGTACAAACACTAGTCTGCCAAACTACGGCTATTTTAGATAGGCAAATCGTAATATTAATCTTATGACAATCCAAGTACCCTTTATATTTCATCAGTTTTTGGATTTAAAATCGATTTTTGTTTTACCACATTCGTTATTATCTATTTATATGCTGGGCAAAATCCGTTGTTTGAGTGACTTTAAAGATCACCCTAGCAGCAACTGAAATGACCAGCTAGGCTTCTGTACTATATAAAAATCCATCTTTTCAGCTGAAATGGAGGAACCTAATTGGTTATTTCGATTGTTGTTAGGATGGCCTTTCACGTTCCCCCCCCCCTCCGTTGTTTCTTATCAAATTATCGTTATGATATATAGTTTATTAATATGAAACATTAGACAGTTTGGCTGAAGCGTACAGCTGACTTTATTTATCCCTATAGTATTATATACCCGTTTTAAGAATTTAAAGAAACTTCTACAAGCATGCATATCAAATACAATTCTTCAGGAAATATTCAAAGATTTTTAAACCGCCCTAACTAGGCCATAACAGTTTTTTTCTTGTTAACAGTATTCTACTTCTTATGTTGTATCGGGATTAATAAAGCTACAGGAAAAGGGTAGGATATTTCATTGCTTTTCAATGCTTAAGTGCTGTTGTTGTATTGGCATTTTACCTTCTAAAAATGAAACATCCGTTTTTTTATATTTTTAGTTGTTTTAATTAATTTCTTGGGTATTTTAATTTATTTTAATTCCTATTGTTGTTTCTTTCCATTTACAAGATGGATGATGGTGTCTACTTCATTTTATTACTTGGTTTACTTGGTAACTATTTTGTTCCACTACATACTTATCATATTACACCGATAACAGATGCACAAAAATTAGCTAATCTTCAAGCAGTTTTTCAACTAGCTCAAGATGTTGAAGGGATTGATTTAGAGTATAATCATCCAGAAAATGTATTACGTCATGATTTGAAGGCAGCATTACGCTTACTGTATGCACTATATACTCGTTATGGAGATATTGAATAAGGTAAAAAAAAAAGGGGATTAAAAATATGAATAAAATGAATTCATAAATATCCATTTGATTTTAATATCTTTCTATGTTAACTAAAATACGGTGCATTTACCCCTTGATTGTATTGGAATTATTCAGTCAATTCGCATTTATACTATACTTTAGTTTTTAATCGCTTTCCGGTAAAATGTTGCTTATAACAGTTTATTTATTTCTTTTCCAATTTTTAAAACATTTTTTTCAAGACTTTATGAAAATCAATATAATTTTTCCAGTTTTTCAAATGCTTCATTTTGTCATCGAGTATTTCTACTATCATAATAATATTTCTTACCTTTTGAAGATATGTAATTTAATTGAGGTTGATAGAAATATACCAATGGTTTTAAAAGTATTTCGAGAAGGGGTTATACTGAATTAATTTTCGTTTCTTGCATATATGAGTATGCGGACCTGTACAAATATCATATTCATAGCAGAATGAAAACTAGCAGACTATGGATGAACGTGAAGCTGTGACTCATTGATATATATATATATATATATATATATATATATATATATATATATATATATCCGATTTCCAACCGGTGGGTTACACGTTCCAACGGTTCCCTATCAACTGAGGTTTGGAGAGCCAGTTAGGTCTGGCTTATTGCCTAAAATGCATGATTGTTCACATATATTTTGAGTAGCATTTCGTTTTTTCATTTTCGTTGATCAACTGCTAGATGCTCAACTGACCAGACTACAGGACTCAATTTTTAACAGAAAATTGTGACTGTTAACATGATAATTATTCTCCAACTTGGCGTATAATTCCAAATAATTCCCCAGAACCATTAGCCTGGGGTTTGCTGAGATTTAAGTTGAATGTCTAAATGATAGGACTAGAAAAATGACTATTCAGTCCAAGGACCTAAACAAAGAACTGAAGCGCCAATAGTTAGTTATTATCTTCTACAGTCTATTTAGAAATTCGTAGGAATATTAAAGAAACGAAATCATAACAGTAACTCTAGTACGACTAATAACGACAACACGAGTAGAAAGGAGTTCACAGCCTCCATTGTGTTACCTTATAAGGAAGGTACATCAGAAACTTTACGTAGGATCCTCAACAAAGCTGGAATTAGGGTGGCATTTAAACCTACAAACTCACTCACAGATATACTTTGTCGGCTTAAGGATCTGATAGAACCAATTAACAAAATAATCTAATCTATCAAATTCCATGTAATGTTTGTGAAGTCAAATACATAGGTCAAACTAGCCAGTCGGCGTCAATTAGAACAGCCGAACATAGGAATTCAGCTAAATATATAGAATGACAGATCCAAATAAGATCAATAATCTAGAATGTAACTCAGCTATTTCAATGTATGGATTGACATATAATCACACCATAGGATGGGATAAAATCACTGTACTGAAGTCCAATATAATTAGGTGGATAGAGATTCGTTAGTGAATCTTTGTTCATTGAATCAACATCCAACACATGCAATAGAAATGACGCAACACGTATACCAGAGATATGGAAAATTTTACTACCAATAAAAACAAAGAATATAAGGTGACAGAACTATAAAGATTAGATATTGAAAGTAGCGTGATTACATTGATATGATTATGAGCAATAATAATTTATGCTTGAAACGTCATTAAGTAATTAATACTGTATCACTGTGTGTTGCCAGTCAAATAAACAAATCTAATATGGAACTAAATTCTATCCCAGTGCCCAATTTTTACCCTTATATTAGCGATTTTAGATGAGTGCTAACTTTCATAGTTTTAACATGCTGGTGAAGCTGAAGGCACATCGTCAAGCATCCACACCATTTGACACATTGTCATGTTATGTCGCGTAGTTCGTTCATAATCCTCCAGTGAATTAGTTGTAGCGTATCGGTATTTTAACATTCTTCATCAAATATACTATTCCTACCTGGCTACCTTATTATGTTCTTTCTCGGTCTAGCAATCATGGGTATTTTATAAGTACAAATAATTAGTGATTGGGCTCTACTTCTGTAGATTTCTCACACGGATAATTTCTTAAACTGGTGAGCATATTCCTTTTTGTACTTGCCTATTTACAACTTTTATTTATTCCAATTATAAACTTTCGTATCCATATATGACTGAACTACTAGATTTATCTGTGTTAAACCGCCAACATAGCCGTAACATTCTGGCCAGACAATGCAAAAACATTTCCTGTACTCTAAGGTTGACCTCCCAGGACAGGGCGTCACAGATCCACGTTCTCAATTCTTCGCTATCATGCAATCTTTACTGTAGGAATTAAACACTCACTTTATACCACTTGTGTTTTACCCTATACACTGCTCAAAGTAGCGCTTCTGAAGAAAAACGATCTCACTGATCGTCAACTTCTAGATGAATTTTTCCGCAACATCGAGTTAGGGGACAATTTAGCTACCCATGTAGTCTGGTGAATGCGAGAAGTTATTGGCCAACGAACGTTTAGGGTTACCCTTTTCCATGAGCTTTTTATTTCAAAATTACCACAGCCGCTTCAAATCGCGCTTTTTACACTTCAGTTGGTTGTTGTCGGACAGCTAGATCTCACGGGGTAAAAAACCAGAAGTAGTATTGGTTCCATAACGCCTACGACGATGAAGCTAGAAACTGTCGAAGACCGTGCACTTTCAACAAAGACTTCACGAAAGTGAGAAACCGTGCTGCAGACACATGTTAACAGCAATGGTAGCTGGCAGAAAAAGCCGTTTGTTGTACATCACTGACATGGAAAAGAGAGTTCGCAACCTGGTTGACGCTGATACAGAAGTTGGCGTTCTTCATGCGACCTCGAACTAACATTGTCATAACCCATCCTTCAATCTGCAATAGCCTAACAGAAAACTTATCACGACGTTTGGAAGAAGTTATATCTATCTCAACTTAGGTTAACGCAAACCCGTTCATGAGACTTTCCTTCTGGCTGTATCTCCATGCCCATAATCGGCGTACATTTGTTGAAGCATTACGACTTATTCGTAGATGCCTGTTGGTGACGACTAGAAGCTAACTAGTCTTTGAAATACTATAGGCGTGTGTTAAATTGCTCGATGGTTGCCGAGAATGCTTATTCACCTTGCTGCAGTAACAGATGTACATATCTAGGAGTTTTAATTTCCTGTATAGTGATTTAAGATGCAGTGATGAGAGATAGGATCATTTCAAGATGGATGAACTGAGTAGTCATTTATTGATCTTTGGGTAATTCTAGTCAAATATCCTGTTGTCTGAATTTGTTTAACGGTCCTAAGAATGTTAGTGTTTTGTAAATTTTGATTGAGTTTGTCCGCACTTGAAGACTGTTGTGAAGTAATTTGGTCACATGTTTCTGTATTGACGACTGTTACCAGTTTAAACTATTTTCTTGAGTCATTTAGTGTAGCTTGTTTTTTCAGGAATATAAGAGGAAGTTGCAAAATAGAAGCAATGAATATTTTTTTCGAACCCTTTCTTATAATGGTTATGTTCGTTGGCACGAAATTTACTATAGTATGTGACGTCATCAATGAACACGTCGAAAATATGAAATAAAGTTTTTTTAAATCTCGTATTGTGAATGCTACATACTGGCTGTTGTTTTACATTTCTCATAGGAGGTATTTTATGGCTTCATCGACTTGTTTCCAGTTATATCTGTGCCAGGAATCATAAAATAATCTGAAACAGTTTTGGTAAGAAGAAGTTGAGAATGTTGAGTTACCAATGTACAACCACTCAAATGTCCCAACCTTATTTTATGAGCAATTTACTGTCATACTTAGCATGTATTTCTGAATACTTCTCAAGTAGTTATTTTACTTGTAGTTTCTCATCATTTATTTTATAACCTACAAGTTATCGGCTTTTGATAGCGTAGAGCTCCTTGACTGAATACCTTTATATTGCATTGAGTTTTATTTCGATGTTATTACGTTAGTGGTGGTTAATAGATGGATGGGTGATACTTGTTTCTTTCTGTTCGCTACCCGGGACATCCGTCCAGTTGGTTCATAATATAAACATAGAATCATCATTTTAGCCTAGGGAAATAAAACTGAAAATTACAATCATCAAAGAATAACAGCTACTTGTCACACAACGGATAGCTGTTGGGACTAAGTAGCCCAATAAGAAACTCCTTACCATTTGAAACTATGATTTCTGAACTCAAACCTTATGATCATTCACCAAGATGTATATATATTCAGTTAATGAGTCCTAAAGGGGATCAGACATGCTTCCTGGTTTGCAGCGCCAGCTATCACCAAAGAAATGTTTTCTTAAATAGTGTTTACTTTTATTTTATATCATTGCTTATTTTCAGAAAGGGAATATTTATTTTCCAGATTGTATGGCTTCATATTAATCGAATATACGATCATAAAGTAGATTATAACTGACGCAGGACCTGAGGGATATCTCCAAGTAGTTATTATGGTTGAGTGTTTTATTTATTATCTTATTGAAACGTTTTATTACCACTTTTACCATGGATTAAAAAAATTATGTATTTCCTCATCAATTCCGTGATTCCGAATTTTAATATAACTGATTACTGCAGTTGAATAACTTATCTTTGCTGTAGTAACTATGTAGATGGCGTCGGAACCTTAGCAAGTTCGTGCCTTTTGAGGATAATTCATAAGTTCCAAAAGACCTACGTACGAGTTACTGGTCCAGTAAGTTGTATGAAAATGAAAAATTCCTTTTAAGCTAAGTATACCAAACACACACTAGTATTTACCATTACTGGTCACAAAAGTGACTTATTTGATGGAATTTGCATTTCATGTAGCAACTGTACCAAATTGGACAGCCAGCGTCACTTGCCAGAACTCTGTAATCTCGAGCCATCGGTGTCTGTTGTGTGTCTGAAACATGTTTATCGGAACCGAATGTGGTTGTCAAATTGATCTTACCTGGCCATATAGGGAAGCCTCAGAATTCACCTTAAGGGTATCCAGAGTATTACTGGTGTAGTAAT